TATAGGTGGATCTTGTTTTCTTATCCATTCTGTTACCCTATGTCTTTTGATTGGAGCATTGAGTCCACTGACGTTTAGAGTGAGTACTGAAAGATATGAATTTATTGCCATTACGATGCTTGTAGAGTTGGAGTTTCTGGTGGTGTTCTCTGGTCCTTTCTAATCTTCGTGGCTTTTGGTATTTATATATATTTTTTCCACCTTTTCTCCCCTCAGAGAGTCCTCCTTAAAATTTCTTGCAGGGCTGGTTTATTGGTCACCAAACTACTTTAATTTTTGGTTGTCTATGGAACTTTTTATCTGTCCTATTTTTAATGACAGCCTTGCTGGATAAAGAATTATTGGCTGCATATTTTTCTGATTCAGCACACTGAATATATCCTGCCACTCCCTTCTGGCCTTCCAAGTTTCTGTGCACAGGTCTGCTGCAAACCTGATTTGTCTTCCCTTGTAGGTTAGGGACTTTTTTCCCTTGCTGCTTTCAAGATTCTCTCCTTGCCTGAAGATTTTGTGAATTTGACTATGATATGTCTTGTTGATGGTCGGTTTTTGTTGAATCTAATGGAGGTCCTCTGTGCTTCCTGGATTTTGATGTGTGTGTCTTTCCCCAGGTTAGGAAGGTTTTCTGCTATGATTTGCTCACATAACCCTTCTAGCCCTATTTCTCTCTCTTCCTTTTCTGGGACCCCTGTGATTCTGATGTTCCTTTTTAATGAGTCACTGATTTGTCTAATTCTTAAATCGTGCTCTTTTGCTTTAATCTGCCTCTTTTTTCTGCTTCCTTATTTTGTTTGTCGTCTATATTGCTGATTCTCTGTTCTGCCTCATCCATCCTTGCCTCTGCTGCATCCATCCGTGATTGCAGCTCAGTTATAGCATTTTTAATTTCATTCTGGCTATTTTTTCGTTCTTTTATTTCTGCAGAAAGGGATTCTAATCTATTTTTGACTCCAGCCAGTGTTCTTATTGTCATGATTCTAAATTCTGGCTCAGACATCTTGCTTGTATCTGTGTTGGTTAATTCCCTGGCTGTCTTTTCTTTGTGCTCTTTCTTTTGGGGTGAATTCCTTCATTTTGTCATTTTGAAGGGAGAAAAGGGATTAATGAGGTAGAAAATTTGAAATTAAAAAAAATACAATTAAAAAAATATTACAATTAAAAATTCAAAACACACACACACAAATCGAATAAATGATGCAAGATTCTAGGTGTGTTTTGGTCTGGGTGTTGAAAGTGGTTTGACAGATTAGAGCAAAAAAAGGGGCGGAGAAAAAAAAGGAAATTGTTTGAGAATTTGAAAAAATGAATACACTGAAGAAGACTAAAATGAGATGATGGTGGTAAAATAGAATTTGCAAAAAATATATACAAAAGTAAAGAATATAGTAGAAAAGAAAAAAAATTAAAGAAAAATATTTTTAATAAATTTAAAAATAAATATGAATTTTTTCATTTTCTGTAGGAAAAAATAAAAGAAATGCAAAAGAGAAAAGATAAAAAAAGAAATTGTTTGAAAATTTGAAAAAATGAATACACTGTAGTAGACTAAAATAAAATGATGGAAGTAAAATAGAATTTGAAAAAATTTACATAAAAGCAAAAAATATAGTAATAAAAATTAAATAAAAATATTTTTAATAGAAATTGAAAATAAAAATGAAGCTTTTCTCTTTCTACATTCAAGAAAAAGAAAAGAAACAAAAGAGAAAGAAAAAGGAAAGAAAAAAAGGAAATTGTGTGAAAATTTGAAAAGGTGTACATACTGAAGTAGACTAAAATAAAATGATGGAAGTAAAGTAGAATTTGAAAAAAATTTACACAAAAGTAAAAAATATAGTGATAAAAATTAAAGAAATATACTTTTAATAAAAATTGAAAATAAAAATGAATTTTTTCTCTTTCTGTATTCATGAAAAATAATTGTAAAAGAGAAAAAGAAAAAATACAAAAAAAGAGAATTGAATAGACAAACCTGCTAACAGATTGAAGTAGGACTGAAATTGATTCGTTTTCCCCTAGAAGTCAGCCTATGTAGCTCTTTATAGTCCATAAATTAAGCAGGCGGTGAGACTTGTGTTCTTGAAGTGTGAAGATGACTCAGCTGGGCGGGGCTCAGTGTAACAGCTTCGCTCTCCACTAGTTGGTGCTGCTAGCCTACTGGGGTGGATTGTTGTGGTGCTCCTAGGTGCGTATGCATATGCACAGGAGTGGTGAAAATGGCACCACCCAGCTACCCAGTCTGTTCTACTGGACCAGCGATTGTATACCCGTCCTCTGTCCTCAGCTCTCGCCCACTCCCTACTTTTTCACTGTCTGTGACCAGGCCCCAGGCAGTACCTCTCCCCAAGTTTTGTCTCAGATGCGGCTGCTTTCCCCAGCCCCCCACCTCCGAAGGACTGTGGCTTTGACCCGTTCCACCCCTCTGTGGGAGGGTCTCACCCATCAATGGTCAAATGAGCAATGGCCGAATATCGGCTGCACCCAAGTATGCCTGCTGGACCCTGTTGTTGCCGATGCCCCGAAACTGCAGCCAGGTTCCAGCCCGTCCCAGAAAATGTTCGCGAGACAGTGTAGCAGCAGCATCTCAGGGATTATGGAAAATCACAACACACATCTGCACCAGGCTTTACCCTTAATGACCTTGCCACAGCACCAGCAAATGTGGCCATTTTCTGGGGTCTGCTGGGACCAGGTGGCTTCAACAGTCTCTACCAAATGTCCTTCCAGCAGTGGAACTGGTTTTCTCCGTGTGGCCTGAGAAACTCCCAGACCCCACTCTGTTCCTGGGGATTCGCCCTTCCCACCAGAGCTTCACCAGGTATCAAGCCGCAGAGTTGCAGCCTTTACGCTCCCCTTGTTTACAATCTTAATGGAATTTAAACCCTCTCCTTTCTGCTTTCTCCCTTTTTAGTTTAGTCCCTGTGGCTGTTTCCAATTTTCCACTTTCTCTCCAGCTGCTTTTGGGTAGGGGTGCTTTTCCTGCATTCTTCCCCCCTTCCCCAGTCTCCGTCCTCTCTCTGTCCACAAAAGTGGTTTGCTACCTTTTGTGGCATCTCGCTCCCCAAGTACAGCTCTCTGCGCCATGTACCTGCTGAATTCTGTGGTTCAGGTTGTGCAGATTGTTGTGTTAATCCTCTAATCAGTTTTCTAGTTGTGTAGGAGGGTTTAGTGTTGGTCTGGCTGTATTTCATGGACGTGAGATACACACAAAGCTTCAATGCTGTTCTGCCATCTTGGCTCCTCCCCCCTTAGTTGCATGTTATTTAACCTCCATGTATTTCTGGTGTTTCCAGATTTTTTTCCCTGTCTTTGATTTTCAGTTTCATTAGCATTGTGGTCAGAAATGTTGGGTAGTATGACTTCAGTCTTTTTGAATTTGTTGAGACTTGTTTTGTGGCCTAATATGTGACTTATTCTGGAGCATGTTCCATGTGCACTTGAAAATAATGTGTATTTTGTTGCTCTAGGATTGATGGTTCTGAATATATCTGTTAAATCCATCTGGTCCAGTGTGTCATTCAAAGCCACTGATTCTTTGTTGATTTTCTGCTTGGATGATTTGTCCATCAATTTCCGTGGGGGGTTAAAGTCCCCTGCTATTATTTTTTTTTTACTATCTATTACATATTTTATGTTGGTTATTAGCTACTTTAATTATTGAATTAATGCCCCAATGTTGGGTGCATAAATATTTAAAATTGTTGTATCTTCTTGTTGGATTTTCCCCTCAATGATTATATAGTGTCCTTCTTTGTTTCTTGTTACAGTCTATTTTAAAGACCTTTTTTCCTTTCTGTTTTTTAGAATCTCTCTTTTTTTAATATTACTTATTGCCAAGTTAACTAAAATACAGTGTACATACGGTGTGCTCTTGGCTTTGGGAGTAGATTTCCGTGACTCATCACCTACATAAAACACCCGTGTTCATCCCAGTGCCCTCCTCAATGCCCATCATCCATTCCCCCACCCCCCTCCAGTCCCCCACCCTCAGTTTGTTCTCTGTATTTAAAAGTCTTCTATGGTTTGCCTACTTCTTTGTTTGTAACTATATATGTATTTTTTTTCTTTCCCTTTCCTCATGGTCTTCTGTTAAGTTTCTCATCTTCCACATGTGAGTGAAAACATATGATACCTGTGTCTGGCTTATTTCACTTAGCATAATACCCTCCAATTCCATCCATGTAGTTGCAAATGGCAAGATTTCATTCTTTTTGATTGCTGACTAATACTCCATTGTATATATAAACCACATTTTCTTTATCCATTCATTAGTTGATGGACATTTGGACTCATTCCATAATTTGCCTATTGTTGGTAGTGCTTCTATAAACATGGGATAAATGTGCCCTATATGAATTAGCACTCCTATATCCTTTGGATTAATTCCTATTGGTGTTACTGCTCAGTCATTGGTTAATTCTATCTTTAATTTTTTGAGAAACTTCCACACAGTTTTCCAGAGTGCTGCACCAGTTTGTATTCACACCAGCAATGAGAGTTCCCCTTTCTCCACATCCTCACCAACATGTGTTGTTTTCTGAGTTTTTAATTTTAGCCACTCTGACTGGTGTGAGGTGGTATCTCAATGTAGTTTTGATTTGTATTTCCCTGATGATGAGTTATGTTGTGCATCTTTTCATATGTCTGTTAGCCATTTGGATGTAAAGACTGTTTTTCTGATACAAGTATTGCTACCTCAGCTTTCTTTTTACATCCATTTGCATGAAATGCTTCTCCATCCCCTCACTTTCTATCTGCATGTGCCTTTAGATTTGAAATGAATGTCTTGTAGGCAGGATATAGATGAATCGTCCTTTTTATCCATTTCATCACCATATGTCTTTTGTTGGATCGTTTAATACATTTAAATTCAAAGTTATTATTAATAGGTATGTATTTGTTGTCGTTTTGTTACTTGTTTTATTACTTTTGTAGTTTTTCTCCATTCCTTTCTTCTCTTGCTATTCTTTCTCATGATTAGTTGGCTTTTATTTTAGTGATATACCTGGATTATTTTCTCTTTCTTTGTTTGCGTATGTATTACTGGTTTTGATTTTTTGGTTACCATTTGAATTGTATATAAGATATTCTGTATATGGCAGTTTATACTAATTTGATGGTTGCTTAAATTTGAACCCATCATTAACTTCTTTCCTCCTCATTTTTTAGGTATATGGTGTCATACTTTACATCCTTTTATTTTGTGAGTCCCTGTACTTATTTTTACACATAAACTTATTTTTACTGCTTTGTGCTTCCTACTTTACTCTTGCTTGTGGTCTTTCCTTTCCACTCAAAGATTCACCTTTAACAATTCTTGTAGGGCTGATTTAGTATTCATGAATTCTTAACTTTTGTTTGTCTGGGAAACTCTTGATTTCTCCCTCTATTTTGAATGATAGCCTTACTGTATAGAGTACTCTTGGCTTCACATTTTTCCCATTCAACACCTTGAATATATCATGCCCCTCCCTCTGGCCTGCAATTTTCTGCTGAAAAAATCAGCTGATTGCCTTATGGGATTTCCCTTGTATGTAACTATCTTCTTTTCTCTTGCTGCTTCTAAAATTCTCTTTATTACTACTTATTGCCATCTTAGTTACTATGTGTCTTGGTGTGAAACTCCTTGAGTTGATTTTATTGTGGGATCTCTCTGCCTCCTGGATCTGGATTTCTGTTTTCTTCTCCAGATTCAGGTAATTTCCATCTATTATTTCTTCAAATAAATTTTGTGCCCCTTTTCTCTCTCTTCTTCTGGGATCTGTATACATTGAATATTATTACACTTGGTAGTGTCACTGAATTCCCTATGTATATTTTTGTTTTCAACATTCTTCTTCTCACCTACTCAGCTTCATTACTTTGCATTACTCTGTCCTTCAGGTCACTAATTTGTTCTTCTACTTCATCTAGTTTAATATTCATTCCATCGAATGTATTTTTAATTTAATGCATTGTGTTCTTCATGCCTGATTGTTTTTTAAATATGTTTCCTATATATTTCATAAGGGTCTCACTGATGTCTTCTACTCTTTTCTCAACTCCAGTGAGTATCTTTATGATCATTCCTTTAAATTCTCTATTAGGCATATTACTTATCTCTGTTTCACTTTGGTCTCTTACTGTAATTTTGTCCTGTTATTTCATTTGGGACATATTCCTCTGTCTCCTCATTTTGTCTTACTCTTTGTGTCTGTTTTTGTGTGTTAGGAAAGACAGCTATGTCTCCTGAACTTGAAAGTAATGGCCTTATGAAGAAGAGGTCCTGTAGTGCTCTGCTGTGCAGTGTCCCCTGTTCAGAACCTGGCCCTTCAGGCATGTCTTCTATGTGTAATACATACACCCTGCTGTTGTGGCTGACCTACTTTTTCCTTCAGTCCAATTATCACCAATTGCTCTCTTTGCCTATTGGCAGCAGTGTTTCCTCCATGTGGTGTTAATGGGAAGTCTGGGGGTGCCTTGGACTTGAGTAGAGTCAGATCAGTGGTGCAGTAGCACCTAATTGTTGGGTGCTTTTCCCATCTTGTCCTATGAGAAACTTTCACTGGTGGAAAGTCTTGAAGTCAGACCAGTTGTCTGCCTCCAGACCTCTGCCAGGGCCTCAGTCTGACTGGTGTGTGTGGTTATCTTTCTCTTTCTCAAGGGCAGGAGTCACGTTGGTGTGTTGCTGGCCACTGTAGGGTCTGCTTGCATACTGCCAGGCCTATGGTACCACCCTGTATGGGCTCTGGTGAAGAGTGTATTGGAAAGTGCACATCTGCCCAACATAGTGTGGGGGTGATTGGTGGGGTGGTGGTGCTAACGAGCTTTGTGTGTCCCTGATCCTCTGTGGGAGGGGCCCTGCAGTGACAGACTGATGCAGACTGTCTACAGCACTGGAGTGGCAGAAGTACTGCAAGGGGGGTCGAGATGGCGGTGCTGGCAAGTTATGTAGTGAGTCTATTAGGTGGCTGTGTTTTTCTCCTCTAGAGTGAGGGAGGTAAATGGCATCTGCCAGTTCCTTTGTTCTTGGAGTAGTTTCCCTATTATTTCTGTCTCTCCAGGACATGCCCTGAGATTAGTAAATATGCCCCAGGCACCTTCCAAACTGCTGCTTCTATGCTGTATCTCCACAGGCTGTTTGTTGTGCTGTCTTTTTAAGGATAGGGATTCCGTTTCCTCTTGCCCACAAGCTCTCTCAGAGCTGAGCCTACTGATTTTTTTAAATTTCAGGTTTTACATCCCACTGGTTATAAAAGCTCATGAAACTCAGCTCCTCTGATTTTCAAAGGCAAATTCTATTGGGTTTTGTATTCCCCATGCAGGCTTACCAGTGTGGTGGGTTGTTTATCTCCCCTTTTCGTGCTCATGCCATCCCCCCCTCCTGCAGACAGTCCCAGGAGACCCTTAAGTTCCTGACCACGTCTTTGCCCTTCCTATCCTCTTTGATGTGACATCTTATCTATATTTAATTGTGGAGTTTATTCTACCAGTCCTCAGGTCATTTTCCAGGGTATTTACACTGATATGAGTGTTTTCTAGTTGTATTTGTGGGAAGAGGTGAGCCTAGGGTCCTCTTACTCTGCCATCTTCCCTGGAAGTCCCATTATGATCTATTTTTATGATATCTATAAACAAGTCACTTCAGAACCAAAGATGTAAATAGGCTGAAAGTTAAATGATGGAAAAAGGTATTCTAAGCAAATAGCAATCAAAAGAGATCAAGGGTAGGCATACCAATATCATATGAAAGAGGCTTTAAGCCAAAACTGTTACAAGATACAAAGAAGATAAAGACCATATTAGTGATGTCAGAAAGATAGCAGAGTAGGAGAGACCAGCCTCCTACTGGAGTATGTTTGGATGAAGACAGTATGTTTGGATGAAGACAGCCCTGGGAGGGCTTAAGAATCTAATTAAGAACATGCAACAACACAGTGGAATGAAAAAATGGAGAATAATCACACAGAAAGTATTGCTGGGGAGATCAGCATGGCTGAGACATCTGGAAAGGACTAGGAACAAAGAAAATGGGCAAAGACTATCAGTATCAGCCATGTGGCAGGTGCCAATGCAGTTCCCAGTAGCCTGCTGTATAGTGGATCCTGGCAACTTTTGCCTCTGAGGACCTCAAAAACTCCCATGAATAGCCATGAATTCCAACAACTTTTACAGCAGAGGAGTCGATAGTGTTTGTTGGGTGGATCCCAGCAGCCTGCTCTGCAGATGATACTCGCAGATTTTGCCACTGAGGTAACCAAAAGCTATCACCACAATAGACTCTCCAGAGAATGAGACACTGTTGAGACTCCCTATGAAATGAAACTACTACTGTGCCACCCTAGTACCAGGTCTGCCACTTCCCCTAAGTCTGTGCTTGCCCTAGATCCCAGAGCCATGGCCACTTCATGTGCATCTGTACATCAGACCCCAGATTCACAGCCACTGAATGCATTCCCATGCCACAGATCCTGGCTCCATGGCCATCCTGCATACACCAGTACCTCCAAAACCAGAGCCACTGACATGAAAGGGTATCACATATCACAAGCTCTGAGACACTATCATTTCATGCACATCTGTGTTCTGGACCTTGGTTCCATGGCCACTCTTGAAGTGCTCACATTATGGAAACTGTAGAACTGCTGCAGTGGGTGCACAAGCCCTCTAGAACCCATGTCCATAGCTGCTCCACAAGTGTACAAAACTAGGACACCCAAACCACTATCATAGCAGGCTCATCCATATACCACACACAACTGCTGGCAGAATAGTGAATGCTTTCACAGAGGATGATGGAATCATTTCCACAGCAGGAGTGCCTATGCCTCAGACCCAGAGCCTCTGTAGCTCTGTACAAGCCTATGCTCTGGACCCCAGCTCCACAGCTGCTCCACAAGCACCTATACCTCACACACCATTACCAACACTGCAGTGGGGGTACCTGTAACCAAGACACTAATATCACCATGACCCCAGACCACAGAGCCACTCCAGTGGCTTCATGGATGCCTCTACTCTAGACTCTGGCTCCATGGCTACTCCAATGGTACCCATGCATAAAACACTATTGATACAGCCACTGTAAGTGTGCTCACAGGATGGACTCATGGCCTGGAAGGATTCTCTTAGCCATGATTTCCACCATGGGAGAAAAATAGATCAGGAGGACTTAAGCAGCCTTCACCACTGAAGACCCCAACAGCCCTCACTGCCACTGAAGATACCTGCAGCCTTGGCCACCAAAGGCCCCTTTAGTGTTTGTTGATTCTGATGACAGGTGATAAGAGCTGCACAGAGACTATGCCACTGCACCTCACTTGGAGCTTCAACTGCCTCACATCACCCATCCAACACTGTTGCATCCACCCACAAGTGATGGTCTTTCTTCACTGAAACCAGTCCATAAAGTCTAGAAGAGATGACTGTTCCATCAAATACACATACATCAGTATAATGCTGCAAGAAATCCAAAAACTCAGGGAAAAATGACACCATCCAAGGAACACAATATTCCAGTAACCAACTGCAAAGAAATGGAGATTTATTTATAAAAAACCCCTCAAATTAATTGTTTTGAGGAAGTTCAGCAAATTACAAGAGAACACAGATGGCATAACAAAATCAGGGAAACAATATATAAACAAAACAGGAAGTTAAACAAAGATAAATCATAAAAAAGAACCAAACAGAAATTCTGGAGCTGAAGAATACAATTAATAAAATGAAAACCAGTATAGGGAGTATTGACACCATTCTTAAAGAATCAGGCAGAATAAAGAATCTGTAAATTCAAAGACAGGTCTTTTGAAATTACCCAGTTAGGGTAACAAAAAGAAAAACAAATGAAAGAGTGAAGACAGCTCATGGAACCTGTATGACTATCAGGTATAAGAATATATGCATTATGGAAATAAAAGGAGAAGAAAGGGACAGGAAGTTTATTTAAAGAAATAATGGCTGAAAAATTTCCAAATTTGGGGAGACATATGAACATCCAGATACATGAAGGTTGAAAGTCCCCAAACATCTTCACCCAAAAGAAGACTTCACCAAGACACATTATAATCAAACTTTTAAGAATCAAAGACAAAGAGAATTCTGAAAGCAGCAAGAAAAAATACACTGGTTATTTACATGGGAACCCCTATAAATCTATCAGTGGATTTCTTAACAGAAACCTTGCACATCAGGACACTGTAGGATGACCTATTTAAAATGCTGGTAGGAAAAGAAAAAACTACCAACCTAGATTGCTTTACTTAGCAAAGCCATCCTTTAGAAATAAAGAAGAAATAAAGATTTTTCCCACCAAATAAAATTTAAGAGAGTTCATCACCAGAACTGCCATATAAAAAATGTTGAAGGGAGTTTTTCAAGCTGAAATGTAAAGATTCTAATTAGTAACATGGACACATATGAAAGTAAACAAAATTCACTGGTAATGGTTACTATCTACCCATTTCAAAATACTGTAATACTGTAATACTAGTGAATAAATTACTTTTAATTCTAGGATAAATGTTAAAAGACAAAGCATTAAAAATAACTATAGCTAAAATAAATTTTAGTAAATATACTACAAAAAGATATAAATTGTGAAATCAAAAACATAAAATGTTGGGGTGAAGAAATAGGGTGACATTTCTGGATGCAACCAAAGTCACATTTTAACTAGCTTTATTATTTATTTACTTATACCATGCTTGTTGCATGTAGTTCTTTTTTTTTAAATATGAAATTTATTGTCAAATTTGTTTCCATACAACACCCAGTGCTCATTCCAACAGGTGCCCTCTTCAATACCCATCACCCACCTTCTCCTCCCTTCCACCCATCAACCCTCAGTTTGTTCTCAGTTTTTAAGAGTCTCTTATGTTTTGGCTGCCTCCCTCTCTAACCTCTTTTTTTTTCTTCCCCTCCCCCATGGTCTTCTGTTGGCCAAA